TTAAAGGCCTCATTTCTTTTTCTGAAAACAGTAGAATGATGGGCTTTACCAAAAAAAGCTGTCATTTTGTTTAATCAAAAAGCTGTTAATGTTGCATCATACCAATACAAACAAAAGAAATAAACATAAGAATGCCTAAACATTTGTAATTGCAACAATTTTCTGCACAAAGTGGTGCATTATCTGACAGAAATGCAGGGGTGCCAATATTTTTGGCCATGACTGTATGTGTTTTTGTGTGATGCGTTGGAGAAAAAAAGTTTATATTTGATTCAAAACGAATGAGCTGCCTTAATGCAATGTACGTTAATGTGTGAAATACCGCAACGTGCTGCCCGGGTATGAAGGGGCCCTTAAAGATCAAGATCCCATGTCAAAACTACACCTGATGTGATCTGATCTGGCATTGGCTATAGCATACAGCATTTATGTATAGCTGAAAAGTGTGAAATATATAATTTACTGCCCAGTGTATATAGTGGAGCAGTATGTAATATAAAATGTAATAAATCATGGATAACACTGTGTATACAGTCTAGCACTGTAGGGTAAATAACATACAGCACAGTGAAACAGCTTTAAAGTTTGGACTTTATGGAATTCAACAGATTGTATAATTGAGCTGTTTGGAGTGTATATTGTACAGTAATTTGTATATAGATGGGCAATGAGGCAAGTACAAAATACTCTACACACAGGCTTATTTACTAAAGGAGTTGAGAATAATCACTCAAAACATTGAGTAAGGATTCAGTTCAATTATCCAATCATGTGCAGATTAAATAAACAGGAATTTGCATTTTACAAGAAATCCCCATTCAACTTGTTAAATAAAGATTCCCAACTTTAGCAGATCAGCCTCAGTGTGTGGGCAGGCTCTTGCAGTCTAGGCAGCAGCATTGTTCTGCTGTAAAAGAAATCAATGTATACATGTGGTGAAAAAAACCCAAAAATATCTACCTGCTCTACCTACACCCAGAATAGGAATTTCAGGAAATGCTGGTGCTCAGCAGGGCTTCCCTCTGCCTCTGGTCATAATATATAAAAACTTATGCCAGAACACAGCGATAAGTTCCATAGTTTATCATAGTAACAAATAGAGCTCACATGGTACAAGGACTCTAATACGTTTCAGCCTGCAAGGTCCTTAATCATAGTGTGAGTATACATGTGGTGAGGGACAGAGGGAGGTTGGGGATAGACAAAGCAGACACACACTGTAATATCTTTTGAATTGGGGGGGTTGCAATGTATAGCGTTAAGGCATACTAAATGGTAAGTGCCCAATATATAGTTATTGTACAGTGACTAGACCGTGTACAGTAAACTAGAAATGTGCAGTACCTGGGAGTTGCACAATAAAGTGCTAAAGTACATTAAATTAGAACCACAAAGAGATAATGTGCAGTTATTTGTGGGTTGCACAATAATGGGTAAATATAGATTATATACAAAATGTCCCGTGCATGCATATTTTCTTAATCTCTTGCTTAAATGTTCAGAATTCGATTATGCAATCTAATTTTTCAATGGCAATGAAGTTAGGAACTGAACTTTCTAAAAACTTGAATTTTTCTACTTAAATCACTGTGTTGTTGAGTTAGTCCTGTATTCTGAATGAAGGTGTTGTTGCATTCCCTTGGACTATTAGATCAGTGTTTCTCAACTTGATATACCATTGTGTTAATAAAATTCAATACTGGTATGATACATTTTTAGCCAGCAGAAGTACCCTCTGAAGTACACATTCCACTGGTTCAGGTTTGTTTCACAAACCACTTTCACTAGGTGTGAACCTTGTTCACATTTGGCTTGGAATTTACTTTCCCCTCAATGGCTGCAAAACATCTAGGTCCTGAGGCAGAAAACCAGACCTCCACTATATTATTCTCTTCCAGGCTTCACAAGATGTAGGTGTGCAGTGTTCAATCTTCTTCTATAAAAATGCTGTGTGCATTTCCCAAAAAAGGTACAAGTTGTGTACAGAACATTATTCCAGTGGCACTTTGGGACACCCAGATGAGGTTATCAAATGCAAAAGATGTAAATGGGGAAAGTACCCACCTTAGTGAAGTTCCTCAATTTGTAATCTATTGACCTCGCCAGGGCCATCCCTATAATTAGCCCTGATGCCTCAGGTGGCATCTCATTGGGCCATGTGGGGGGAGGCAGGCAGGGGGCCAGAGCGTCTGAAGTTGCTAAGAGCTCTGCTCCAGGAGTTGGGCAGGATGCCAGCCAGAGCCTCCTGCTCAGCTTATGGCAACCAGTAACGTCAGTGAGCTAGGCGGGATGCCAGATAGAGCTTAAGCCACAGCTCTTAGAAACTTGTGATGACCTGGCTGGTGTCCTGCCCAGCTCATGGATGTCACTGGTTGCCAAGAACTGAGTGGGACCCAACCCAACAACCCCCCCC